TGGAAAAGCCCCAGTGAACACAAGGAATTTGCACATGGTCCTTTGGACTCTGGTTAAATGTACAAGAAAACATCAGTTTACAACTTGTACCTAATGCTCAGCAAGCTTAATGCCAAGCTTACAGAGTTACAAAGGCAAAGCATCCTCTTTCCAGGTGCCACGTACTGTACCTTTGAAGGTGATCTTAAGTAACAGGCAGATTCAGATGGGAGCAGGTACACCCAGACCCACCCAGCTAAAGGCTTTAAAGGCAAGATAAGCCTTTTGAGTTGTGTTCCCCAAACAAATGGCAGACGTTACAGCACTACACCAGCTAACAATACGGTATCTACACTCTGAACCAACTGAAGTTTCCAAATAGTCTTCAAAGGTAGTTCCATATAGTGCATTGCAACATCTTACCCTAGAATGATCAGAGTGAGGATAACTGGGGCTCAATCTCACTTTTTAAAGACAGGCAGCAACTGATATTAGTTATTTCAAGACACTAAAGACCACAGCTGTCCTGTAGGCATAGATCTCAACATTTGTTACCCTTTGAGAAACACAGCCCCACCTACAACAGGCAGCCACTGCCAATTTAGATCTGAAAGTTAGACTGTACATAGATAGAATGAACTTGAGGAGTTTAGGTTAGTGAATTTGTTCCGAAAGTGTTTCCTAATTTTTCTTTCTGGCATACCCTAATTTTTCTTTCCATGGCATACCCATTCGCTTTCAGCTTCACTTAAAGTCTGCATACAGGCCCCACCACTTAAACCTACTCAATAGACTCTCCTCTTAAATATTGGAAGTCCCTGTGGTAGGCTAGTCGCTTCTCCAGTGTTAATACAGTCCCTTGAAAATAACAGCCAATATATAGCACAGTTCTTGTGAAGTACCTCATTTTTGCCAGCAGGGGGCAAAGGCTTATCATCCAGCCAGAAAGAATCTATGGTTACTTCTGGTCACATGGGCCAGTTGCTCTCCCACTTCCTGAAGACAGCTTGGATTTCGCTTGCTGCTTCTTCTGCCTCGCCAATCGCCATTTTTAAGCATGTTTACTTTTTATAGAATTTGCCAAAGTCCCGAAAATTTGCCCAAATGCTTATTTGGCTTCTGGAGTCTCTCTAATACAGTCTATTGCTGCTTAGAACTCCGTCCCCACTACAAAGGCTTTTCTTTAATTGCTCATTTGTTCCTTCCGGGGGAAGAGTAAAAGGGGACTCACTCATTTTCTGGTGTTCTCGCTTTAACAAACTCACTCTTCAATGTCTGATCACTTGGATCTCGCCAGGTAACGATTTAAACGCTGTACCTCCAAGTGCTTGTCCTGGTGTGCGTACCTTAGTCCCATTCGGGAACACGGCACAGAGACCTTTGGGGCAAAGGGAAGCCTCAATCTGCTGGCAGCGTGCCCGCAGAGAGGCAACCCTCAGCATCCCATGGCAAGGGACCCACCGCAAGAGTCCCAGGGGGGTGCGGACATTTGCACCCCCTCTCAATGCGCTGGTCCGCGGATTGCTCCCCAGGAGCTGTCTGGGGAAATGGCCGCCATCAGCCCGCCAAAAAATGGAAGTCCGAGAGTTTGCCTTTTTTTTTACTGCTGTGGCAGACTGGGTTAACATTTTCACTAAGCTATCCACTACAACCTCAA